ATTTGTTTAAAAAAAAAATTTTGTATGGTAAAGAAATAAAGAAATTTATGTAAATGTGTTTTTACTTAATTTTTACAAATGTATTTCTTTATTTTTTTTTAAAGTGTGTGTGTGTGTGTATATAATTTAATTTGTAAAAAATGCGTACAGTATCCATTTAACGTTCACACACACATATTTATTTATATATATATATATATAGAGAGAGAGAGAGGTACTGCATATATAAATAGATAGATACTATATAGATATAGTGTGTGTGTATATATATATATATATACACACACTATATCTATATAGTATCTAAGTGCTGTTAAACGATTAATCATGATTAATCGCATCCAAAAATCCAAAATGTGTTTACATAATATATGTTTGTGTACTGTTTATATGTATTATGTATTTAGAGATTATATACAAATATTTTATATATAAAAATAACATATTCTTCTTAAATATATACATGCATGTGTGTGCATGTATATATACAGAATAAATATACACAATGCACACACATTATGTAAACACAAACGTTTACTTTGGATGCGATTAATCGTGATTAATTATTATTATTTAATATATAAACAACATATTTATCTTAAATATATACATGCATGTGTTTGTATTTATATATGCATAATATAAAAAAACATATTATGACCCGTATGGTGCTTAAACCCTCATCTTAATTTGTGGTCAAAATGAAACCATTTTATCTCAGCTCTGTTTATTTTGTCTGTGTGAATGGTGACAGAGCAACATACGGCCTGAGATTTGCTTCCACCGTTCATATCTGTCACTCCCATTTAAGTTGCAACAAACACCTAATATTTTAAGCTTTTGTCTTCTTTTGGTGTATTATTCATGCAATGTGATTGAGAGGAGACAACGTGTTAAAGCTCATTATGTTAGAGGTGATTATAGCCACCGAATCCAGTGTCAATGCTTTCTGCTTGCGTAGGGCAAAGGTGTCCTCACATTAAAAATGCTTACATGGGCCATATGGACAGTGCTTTATCACTTTGTCAATGCAGACGTTAGGAGTGATATTCATCAGTTTGTCAATTTCTATTGTTCTTGTCTGTTTGTGCAATTGTTTGCGTAGTTTGGTTTGCATGGAATGTACTAAAAGTATTCTCTTTGTTCCAATTATTCATACACCCATTCCAGTTAGGCAGCAACAGACACCTAACAGAAATGCATTTTACCTGCCCTTTTTGATGACAAAATATTCTTGTTTATGTCATGCTAAAAATGTTGCTGCTGGAAGTTCCCGTTTGCATACCTGTGTTGTTTTCCGCCTTCTAATGCCGATGACCGGTGACTTGAAAGAAAAATTTAACCAAATATGTGGACAGAAGGAAACAAACTGCTTTAAGTGGTTCCACCAGTGTGGCTCTTCTAACCTTGTCCTACATTGCGATTAGCTTTTAATGTTTCATAATTAGTGATGGCACTAGAGAAGAAGTCAGAAGGCTAAGGGTTTGTTGGGTCTGCCCTTGAAAGCCGCTCTAATGAATCAATGGATGGCAATAATTGTACTAGTCATTACTGAATCAAGTGATCTGCAGAATAATGTATTGATTTTTGCTCTTTCTTACTACATAATTATTCTGTATCCCAGTAGTGCACCATCAGGGGAATCGACTGAAGGGCAAGAATTTTGGAACCATCTCATTCGCTTTTAAAATAGAGAAATGAATTTTTTTTTAAAGAAAGCTTCACATTAAGTTGCAAAGCGACTAATAATATGAAGCTTTATCAATCACAAGGCTATACTGTGTGTGCCCCATTTTTCTGCATGTCCCTTTCATAGTTCTTGCATTACTACCTCAGAGAAGTTATTTTGTGTAACATGATGTTCAAACCAACCATTTAAAAGTGATGAACCCAACAGTCTGAACCGCAGAACATGAGCTTTACCTCTGAACATTGTGGGCTTGTGGGGCTATTTCATCATTAAATATGTACCGTTTGTAACAGTATCCCACAGGCAATAATAGGATGGGGATTTGAACTATGAACATGTCTTTCAATATTTATCAAGCGGCAGATATGAAATATAATTTTATTCCACTTTAATAGCTAAAAACGTGAAAGGTTATCCTTATATTGTCATTTAAAAATGATTTAAAGTAAAGCCACTTCTAAAAAATGCTGGACAATGTTGATAAAATAATTGGTATTATTTTATTATTATGTATGTATATATATATATATATATATATATATAAAGTGTAATAAAGTATAACATTGAAACAATGAATTCAACTTGAAACTTTGAATTAAAAGGACTAAAAGTATTTTTTACATATATATTATTGATGTTGATTGAAGTTGCAAAGTGTTTGCAAAAGTTGGTTTTGCAAGATCTCAGAGCATTACCTTGCTAGTTGACTATACTATTGATTACCCCTTATTCTTTTTTTTATGTCAAGCAGGGCACATCACAAAACTGCTAATTAGCAATAATCTGTTTGTCAATAATTCACAAGAGTGCAGAATTTAGATAAGGAGAAGTTCAGGTTTGAAATACATTATCACAGCTCTTTTTGTCCCTTGAGTTTATTTTGTGTTATGACCTTCATGGTTCTCTATTATGCAAAAAATAGTTTTGATAAAAATGATTAATGATAATAAAAGTAATTGTCATATTTTGTAAAATGTCTCCATATGTTAAAAATATATATCTTATTAAAAAAAATTATTTAATCAGCGAAAATTCCACTTGATTTTTTTTTTTGTAAAACCGTTATATATGCACTGAAATAACTTACATATAGTACAACAGAGGAACGCTTATTTTCAAGGCGGAAGACGTTTTATTTAAGCAAGTGTCAATAGAATTGTGAATCCAGAAGGTGACCACAAAACACCCCAACAATGTCATATGAATGAACAGAATAAAATGTCCCATATCATTCACTGCAGTGCAGCTCAAATCAATACCACAGTTCAATTAACCCGACAGGGCGGATATGTAGAATCCGTTCCGTGTTTTCCAGCTCACTTACTGTGCTAACTGAGATATTCAATTAAGGATTCCTCTTCCCACTCTGAAGCGGTTCTCCAGGGCAGATCTTCCGAGCGACCCACCCTATGTTAGAAATAGGAAAATCCAATAATAACAACACTAGAAAAAAAATGAAAAAATGAGGCAACTTTGATCACGCATGCTCCCTTGTCATACACAACATTTGCTCTAAAGTTGGAAAGTCGCGGAAAAGCCAGGAAGTAACGTTACAGGTAAGACTGTTGTTTTTGGATGAGCTACAGATCTCACTATTTGTTTATGACTCCAGTGAGTTTAAAGACGACCAGGTGTTTACGATGCAATAGATCGCTTGTGTTTAATCCAACGCTTGCGTTTCTAATAAAAAGCTCATGTTTTGAATAGAACGCGGTCTGGGTCTCATTCGAATGACAAGGCTCTGTGTCTGATGATTACAATAATGAATTAATTCAGTGTATTATAAAAAGCTTAAGAAGTCAAATTATTAAAGCTTTTTGAAAAGCACTGAATACATTCAAAATCTTCACAGGTTGCTTGTAATTGGTTATTAATGTGGAAATTGTCAGGTACAAGCTTTGCTTGGGGGCCCGTCTCACAGTGTTGATCTACAACGTGTCTGTGGAATGTGGGGGCATGTGGCTCGTGCCCGGAGACGTGCTTCCATCTGGACAGCCGTCCAGCTCCAACTGTCAGAGCAGTTTTACAGGTGTTGATCAGTCTCAGGATCCATCTGCCTTGAATATTCTCTTCCTCACTTCTTCATCTCCATCTCCATCTCTGCTGTTTGTACTTTAACTTTTGACCACTGATAAGTTGTGCTGGAGTGTATGCTGTAAATGGTGATTGTACATTATGCACGTAAGTAGTAGAGAGAGCATTTTAGTGTAGTTTTTGTGATGCCTTCAAAGGTATAGTTCAACCAGAAATGAAAATTTACTAAGCCTTAGGCCGTCCAAGATGTAGATTAGTTTGTTTCTTTGTCAGAACAGATGTAAATTAGTAGAGAAATGTAGATCCTCTGCAGTGAATGGGTGCCGTCAGAATGAGAGTCCAAACAGCTGATAAAAAGACCAGGCAGGTTTATTGTCTTTCTCATGCAATGGTTCACGTAAGTAATTAATTACTCTCTTTTCTTTCTCCCTCCCTGTCTCCAGTAAGCCAATCAGCTGAGGGGAAGCATCTCGTGTTTAAAATGCCTGTGATATCCAAGAGAAGGTAAACAGAAACCTTGATGTTTAGAATGCAAGTGTTTTTGTGCCCTGAGCGTTTCGTGTGTGATGTGTGCCCACTGTCTGTGTGTTTGCGTGTCATACATTATGGTTTTGGCATCGTTATGAAAAATTATTCATATTTAATAAGTAATTAATGTGTGAGGACGGCCTTTTTTGTGCGTCTGGGTCTCATTCGAATGACAAGGCTCTGTGTCTGATGATTACAATAATGAATTAATTCAGTGTATTATAAAAAGCTTAAGAAGTCAAATTATTAAAGCTTTTTGAAAAGCACTGAATACATTCAAAATCTTCACAGGTTGCTTGTAATTGGTTATTAATGTGGAAATTGTCAGGTACAAGCTTTGCTTGGGGGCCCGTCTCACAGTGTTGATCTACAACGTGTCTGTGGAATGTGGGGGCATGTGGCTCGTGCCCGGAGACGTGCTTCCATCTGGACAGCCGTCCAGCTCCAACTGTCAGAGCAGTTTTACAGGTGTTGATCAGTCTCAGGATCCATCTGCCTTGAATATTCTCTTCCTCACTTCTTCATCTCCATCTCCATCTCTGCTGTTTGTACTTTAACTTTTGACCACTGATAAGTTGTGCTGGAGTGTATGCTGTAAATGGTGATTGTACATTATGCACGTAAGTAGTAGAGAGAGCATTTTAGTGTAGTTTTTGTGATGCCTTCAAAGGTATAGTTCAACCAGAAATGAAAATTTACTAAGCCTTAGGCCGTCCAAGATGTAGATTAGTTTGTTTCTTTGTCAGAACAGATGTAAATTAGTAGAGAAATGTAGATCCTCTGCAGTGAATGGGTGCCGTCAGAATGAGAGTCCAAACAGCTGATAAAAACATCACAATAATCCACATGTAATCCACATGACTCCAGTTCATCAGTTAAAGTATTGTGAGCGAAAAACTGCATGTTTGTAATAAATTCATCATTAAGATGTTTAACTTTAAACATCACTTCTGGCCAAAATACGAGTCCATAATCCATAATAACACTTCCTCCAGTGAAAAATTCCATCCCATGTTGCCCTTTCACATCTAAATCCACCAACGTATTTGTTTAGAATGGTCTGTGCATATTTCTCTCCTGATTTAGACAAAACTTTTTCACTGTTGAAAGCAATATTATGGATAGAGGACTTGTATTTTGAAATGAGCTTTGTTTCCAGCAGCTTTTCACTTCACAAGACCTTAATTGATGGACTGAAGTTGGGTGGAAATTTTATTTTTTTTGGTCAGTTGTTTGGACTCTCATTCTGATGGCACTCATTCACTGCTGGGCAAGTGATGTAATGCAAAATTTCTCCAAATCTATTCAGATGAAGAAACAAACTCATCTACATCTTGGATGACCTGAGTGTGAGTATATTTTCAGCAAATTAAAATGTTTTTCTGTAAACTATTCCTTTAACTTGCTTTAGTCAACATCAAATATATATTTGAGGTTTTGCTGATTTACTGCAAGTGTCAAGGAGCTGGTGCTACCTGAGACCTGTTTTCTTTGTCTCTCTGACCTTGGCTTTGAACCCGTAACCCTTGTGTTAAAATGTACATTCATGATTCTGCGCTATGCTTGACAGCTCTCGAGATGTAATTCAATTGCTTTTTTACACCACCACTTTGTAAATTGCTCGCTGTAATGATTTGGTATCTGTATTCACACTATTGTGATCCTTGTAAAAATTTCCGTTCTCAACACGCAGGCGTGCATAGGCCACATGTTTGTTTAATAGTCATTATTATTTTTGTTTTAGTGCACTGGAAATGTCCTCTTTGCATGCTTGATCAACCAGTAGGGAAATCTAATATAATTAAGGTTCAAGGTGAATTGCATCCTGAGCATTTCCCCTTGACAGAAAGAGCATGCATATACTTGAGCAAAAATAAACAAATCACACTGACAACAGTAATATAGGCTTGATTTTGAAGGCATGGAATAAGTATCGATTTAAGCCTTCACTTCATAGATGAAAATGGCCTTTTTGGTAATTTGTCCTGGGTCCTTTCAATGCAGGAGGAGGCGAGCGAGAGAAACGGTTGGGGGTGGGGGTGAGTAAGAGAGAGAGAGAGAGAGCGCTAACAAGACAGAGAAAGGGACATGCTGCCCCTTTCCGAGCTCATTATCATTCTTAATAAGTCTTAAGGAAAGAAGCAGCAGTGAGTGTAAATGCAAGGTAATCCTAACACTGGCCAAGGTTACTGGGGACAAAAGCACATGCACACCCCTCCCTGCTGGTTGCACTGGGACACAGAATGAGCTGTACCCCCAGCAGCACTTCCAGAGCCCTCCTAGATGCTAGAAGTGCATGAACTGATGCTTTCTTCACTCTAAAAATGTTTTGTCTGGTAACTTGGGCTTTAGCTGTGAACCTATAAATTAACTTGTAATAAAAAATATTTATAAAAAAGGTATTATGTAAAATATTATATTGTATTATATTTTATCAAATGTTAATTACACTGAATCAACCTGACTACATTGAGTTTGATAATATTGCAGTTGGGGTCAGAAATATATGAGGATTATTGTAGATAATTATTCTAATGTAATTGATTAAATTAAGGCATTTTACATTAAAGTATGGCACATACAGTGTTTTTGTTTAGTTAGAAAAAACTGGCTTCATGAATGTAAAAAAAACTAAATATCTATTTCGGTGGGAAAATATTGGTACTATATTTTTAAAAAAGATGTAAATATTCTAGCTAATTAAATGAAGACATTTTACATTAAAGGATGGCACTTACAGTGTTTTTATTTGGTTTTAAAAATAGCTTCATGAATGTAAAAAAACCTCTGTTTTTATAATCTGTTCCACGGGAAAATATTGCAACTTTTTGTAAAAAAGATCATTTCTGACTAATACAGTCCAACATATAAGGGTTACTCCTTACTGAAAAAACAACAACACAAATCAAATAAAATAAATAAAACACCTTCCAAACCACAAACATGCACCTTTAGAGTCAAAATAATTTGGATCATGTTGAATTTATTTTTTTTTATTGTGCATAAGAGCAGTTTCTGCACACATTTGTTAATACTGCACTCTACAGTATTAAACCAGTACTTATGTTTGCAGTGTGTACTTGTTTGCTGTCAGGTATTTATTACAGTTCTGAGAGGATTACATGATTGCATGGACAAAGCTGTGTTTAGCTTACTGGTGAGTTTAGTGCATCATCTGCCTGTCTTGTTTTGAATGCTCCAGGTTTGGACGTCTCGCTGATCTATTTGTAGACCCTTAAGATATTATACTCATCATGCGATGCTTAAATATTATAATCAGTCTAAAGCAGATAAAAGCTCATTGTGAATATGCAGCAGCTAAATGAACAAATGCAACACAGTCAGATCTGTTAAGCAGATCTGTTGGCCTTTGTCTGTTTCACAGTTGCGTTTTCTCAGTTTCCCTCTGTCACCTAAAGATGATTTACCCCCAAACAGATGTTCTGAGTCTCACCGTTTGTTCTATTTTCTGCCCTTTCGAAGGTTATGAATGAAATGCAGCCCTTGGCCCCATAATTGCCTGTGTTTGTGCCACTGTTATTTTCTGGCAGAGAGATGGAAAATGCTAAACCTCTGGGAGCGCTGGTTGGCGATACGGTATCGGTCCAGTCCTGCAGGAGCTTCTTTCCTGTTCCAGCGCTCCCTGTAGTCTCAACCCCTCCCCGGTCCTTGTTGGGGTTTGTATGGCAACCTACTCTCATCGCCCCATGGGGCAGCCTGGGAGGAAGAGAGCCATCGCCATGGTGATCCGAGCACAGAACCTCTGCAAAGCAGTCCATTGTGACTGGTGCGCGTTGAGGTGAGAGGAACAAAATGTCACAGCAACAGGTTTTTTTCTTTTTGTTGTTTTTGCCTTTAATGCCCGTAGGGGTTTGTTTAGCCTTTGATTCATCTGTGCTGCCGTCTGCTAAACGAGTTGTTTGTGATATCTGTTAATTGCCTCTTTTAAGTCGTCCGTTTTGGTGCACGGTAGAAGGCAACGGGAGGAAGTGAAAACAAATGAAAACTGATTTTGTGTTCAACAATCTAGAGGGATGAGAGAAGCATATCATCATGAGAGGGTTATCACCCCGTTACGATAACTTTGTTTTAATGTATGTGAAATCTTTTTTTTTTTTTTTTTTTTTTTTTTTTTTTTTTTTTTTTTTTTTTTTGTCTTTTAAAATGACTCGGTCAATAAAAATGTCTTCAGGAGTATTAGTCAAGTATGAATCTTATCTCATAAGTGAATTCCCAGCACTCACAGGCTAAACTTCGAGTGAGATTCTAGCGAAACTGCAGGTTGATTAATTTTACTTGAACTCCCCACTTTAATCTTCTTTTGAATGGATGTTAAAAAAGTCTTCTTTTTGCACTGAGCACATGAGATCGGTTGTTCTCCACTAGGGGCAGTAAGAACAAATTAAATCCTGCTAGGCTGATTCTGAGAGCCCCTCGCAGAACAGCGAAGTCTTTCAATTACTGAAGAGAAAAAAAGCTCAAACTTATTTAGTAAAACCTGAAGTACCGCTGAGATTCACCTCAAGCTGAACTGATCTGAGACTTATGCAAAGTACCACTTAAATCTCTTATATTTAAAGGGATAGTCCACCCAAAAATGAAGAGTGAGTAAAGAGTGAGATATTAAGAGTGAGTAAATGTGGGGGTGAGTAAATGATGACTGAATTAAAATTTTTGGGTGAACTCCCTTTGGTACTGAGTTTTGCAGAGCTGTCGCATACTGCACTGGTGGTCATGGCTCACTTTGTGAATCAAGGAAAAAGAAAACATGCTGTGTAACCTATACAGAAATATTTTGTAGTATTGTATGCAAGTATTTAAAAAATCTTGGCACTTACGGAAGTTTTTTGTTTTTGTAGTAAAGTATGCAGATATAGCAGATAAAAAAAACAATCAGGGTGAAAAACAACAACAACAAAAAAATTATAAGTATATACACCATGCTATAAATATTTTGCTACTTTTGTTTGGAGCTG